ATTTTTTTTTTTTGTTATACTAACCATACAGCTAGTGAATAATGTTTACTTTTAAACAAAAAAAAAATAGAAAAATATTCAAAAATATTATAGTATAACAGTATATACGTACAATATTATTACTGTATATTTGTCTAAATGTTCCAATTTTTTAAATATGTAGGTAATTTTGCTCAAATTTGTATAAAATTTCCGGTCAGAACGACATTATTTTTAATTTTTTTTGTTTTTTTTTATTATTATTATTGTTGTTTTTTTTAAAACAAAATCCCACTTATAAATTTTTATCTAATATTTTTCTTTAGTGTTATAAAAATTTTAATAAAAAAAAATTTAAAAACCAAAAAAGCCGAATAAGCTAATTTTTTTTTTTTTATATTTTCAATTATATTATTTTCAAATCTAAATGTATAACATTTTTAGTTTTACAAATTAAATAAAAATTTAATTCCATATTTTACGGTTTATAGATTTTTATAGTAGAAAAATATACAATGAACACAGATTTGAATACAAAAGCACATTATTATCTTTCTTAGATTATTACAACTATACTTTACTAATAATCGCACATATTGAGATATACATAATACCTACATGTTTACATGCACATATGTATATATATACACACGAAATTATACTAATACATTATGTAAATTAATCGATCTTTTTCTTGTTTATTTTCTTTAATTTTTTGTTTTGCAAAAAATATAACAATATAAATATCAATGTTATACAGAAATTTTTTTTTTTTTACAAAGAAAAACTTGCTTAAACAACTATTCATGGATTTCTTCAATATTGTGTTGTGTATGCCTTTGCCTGTGCGGTTATCTTAAAAATTAACAAAAACAAAAATCAGAAAAAGAAAAACAAAAAAAAAATTAAAACCTTTATATCCAAAAAATTTTTATAAAAACAAAAGAAAACAAAAAAAAAATGACTTCAATTTTTATGTTTTTGTTTTTGGTTTTCATATTGAAAATGTATAACAGTTTATGAACAGGTATTAGAATATTGCAACAATACAAAACAAAAACAAAAAAAAAATTTATGTTTATAGCCAAAATTTTATTCTGTTAACTTTAAAGAAATAAGAAAAATAAAAAGAAAAAAAAAATAAAATTGAAAAACAAAAGCAAGAAGAAGAAAACCTGAATTTATTATGATCAAAAAATCTATTATATTCACTTATTATGTATGTTTACTTGTATGTATTTTGATTTTAACATTATTTTATTATGATCTATGCATGTATATATGTATGTATATAATAATGTGTTGGTATGTACGTATAACTTAATTTTATAAACAGGTATTCCATCCCGTCAGTAATTTTACTTTTTCCTTTGCAATTTTTTATTTATTTATATGTATGTATGTTTTTGTGGTAGAACAACTTTCAAGTTTCACTTGAAAAATAGTTGTTTTAAGCATGCCAACCGAATAAGTTCCTTGTGTTGTGTCGCGATCTTTTTATAAAAAATTATAAAAAATAATTTTTTATAAAAAAAAAAATAATAATATCATTTTTTTAATTTATAATCATATTTTTTTTATATACATTACATACATATATTCATATTCTTATTTATTATACGTGCGTGTGTGTGTTTAAGAATATAATAATTTATTAAAATTCATTTTTATGTTTTTTTTTTCATTACTTTGCCTAAAAGCAAAAACAAAAAAAAAAACCATCATATTACATTATAATGTACATGTAGTACATACATACAAATAAATATTTATTTGCATATACTAAAAGAGCATAAAAATCATCTACAGTATAAAAGAAATCATATTATACAATATAACAGAAATAACTTTTGAAGTACCTATATATAATAAAGTAAGTGGTCAAATATGAATTTTTTTGACAAAAAAGAAAAAAGAAAGACAGAAAAAAATGATTTTATAACAATGCAAGGTTTTAATAATTATATAAGTACATGGTGTCTTTTCTTATAAGAAGAAAAAAGGTACCTATATATATATAATATGTGTGTATATAAAAGTACTTACATATTATATCATTGAGATGTAGCTTACCTATAGCATTATATTGTGTATATTTTGGATAAATTTTTGGAATTTTTGTTAATAAATTTAAAATTGAAAGTAAAATTTATACATATATAATATATACATATAACAGTTATATATTAAATTATTGAAATTTGAAATATATTAAGTGTAAAAATGTTAAAAAAAAAAATTGAAGAAAGAAAAAAATATTTTCTATTTTTCTGCAAAATTTATTGATTACGTATGCTTTATTAGAATTTGATTTGTATCTATAGGATATAAAACTATTATACGGGCTCAACTCAAGAGTAGTATACTATTGTGTGTTAAACAAAAATTGATTTTTTAAATACAATAGAAACATAATAAAAGTAAAGATAATTAATTTAAAAAAAAATTTCATACTTATATCTCAAAATATTTTTTATACAAAATATATTGTTATACATTATATTAAACAAGTTTTTTTTTTATAAAAATGCATTAATATAAGAGAATCAAAAATTTGTTTTAATAAATCACAAAAAAAAAAATTTACATATTAAAAATTCAAATATTTCTAAATTATATTTTTAGAGTTATAACAAAATTTTTATTTTAAAAAAAAAAAATTCTCATCAACAATTCACCACAAAAAAAAAATGAAATCTGTGAACATAAAGGATTAAAATTTATGTAGGTACTTCTCAAATACTCATATAAAATACTATTGTATATTTATATACATAAAATTCTCATTATATACATACATAGCTAAATTGATATACAAAGGTACTTTTCAAAAAAAAAAAAAAATGGTAGATAAAAGTATAGCTGTTGACTTATTATAAAATACCTATACCTATTAATTTATTATCCGCTGTTTGTTTTTTATTATATGAGAATAACAACAGGGGTCAATATAACGCGAATTTTTCTTATAATAAACTTTTATACACAATATTATAAAAGAATAATGTACATAAAATGATATATACGAGTATATGTGCATATATACATTAAGTATGTATATAACTAAATCTTTATAACCAATAAATTTATAAATTTAGACAGTAATCGCGTTGTATAACATAAGAATATAATATACAAAGAACATAAACTTTTATAAATTTGATTTTGAATGTATGACATATGTAGAATATGAATTTTTGATGTTAGATTATACCAGAGACCTTTTTATAAAATTCGTGATAAAAAATAAAGAAAATTAATTAATTTTTCACTTAATTTCTTAATAACATAATTAATTTGTACTTAAATATTAAGAAATGTTATTGTTCTACATACAATATTACAGATGCATAACATTAAAAAAAAGTGTTATATTATATAGGGAGCTATGAATATATCATACTATATAAAATAGATAAATAATAAATATTTTTTTCTAAATTTAAAAGAAATCTGCAAAAAATAAATATTTTAATATTAAATTTTTCTTTTTCAAAAATAAAATTGATTGTTCAATGCAACCATTTTATTAAAAAATCTCTTTCGGGTTTTTTTTTTATTTTTTTTTTGTGATATTATTAATTTCAATTGAAGAAATTTTATTTTTTCTTTTTTAATAATTTTCTTTTAACCAATAAAGTATGTATTTTGACCATGATATTAATTGATTAAATAAATAAATTTGAATAGTGAATGAAACCTGTTTTAATAAATAAATATTTTGTGAAATTTTTTTCTTCAATTTTTAATAAATTTTAAAAAAATTTACAATAATTAATTATGTACTTACCTAAGTATCTTTTATAACAAGTATTGTTCAATGATTTTCAAGTATTGCTCCTAAAAGTATGCACTTTGCAGAATTTTTTCTAAAAAAAAAGGAGAATTCAAAAACGTAAAATTTTTTGCATCACATACGACAATTGTAAAGTATCACTGCAACACTGTCATTCCTTGCTGATGCTAGGGCAATTTTGTTGCTTGATTGACGTTTTTGAACATTTTTTTTTATAATTTTGGCAGTAAAATTTTGGTTTTTTTTCATTCTGTAAATTTTGAATAAAAATAATTATAAAATTTTTTAAAATATCGCAAAATTAAACACAAAAAACAACACGGTAGAAAATTACGAATATCCTCACTTATAAATGCAAGCGTGTTGAATAAAGTGAAATTGCCATAATTTTAAATTATTAAACAATTTGACTAATTTTTAATCGTATGTTTACAGATTATAATTTCTTGTCAACGATTCTAATTCCAAAATTTTATTATTAGAAAGCGAACAAAGAATAAATTTTGTAGTGATTTATTAAAGATTTAATTTTCTTTTTGTGTTCCTCCACAAGAAATTTCCTAGAAAAAAAAAGGTTTGCTCTTCATTTGATTTCATTGAATTTTTTCGGTTTTCTACAGTATACTTAAAATATTTATTTTCGCACAAAGTGAAACGTTCGCGTGACTATAAGCACTATCTATATAACAAGTATTGTTAATTATTATAAAGGTTAGATAAAATTGAATATTTTTATATAAAAATGTTTTGATTGGTAGGGAAATAAGAAACTGAAAAATAAATAATAAATGCGTTTAAAACAAAGACCTACTATATGAGAGAAACAGTAAAATATTGTACCTTGATTGTTTGTTATACTTGATTTTGGAAGAAAGTAAAACGAAATGTTGTATACTGTATGTACATATATAAGTATATCAGTCTTTATTTTGAAAAAAAAATATTGCATTTTATTCTTGCATTTAAAATAACAATATGCGATTTATACCTTATTCTTTAATGATTTTAGTTGGAATGATTTTAAAAATTCATATACCATTTGTTTTTAAAACAAATTTCGTTGATATTCTTCATGGGGCAATTGAATTTATTCATGGAAAGGAAATTATATCTATTCAAATTTATCAAATAAATTATAGAAAAAGAGAAAATAAATTTGGCATAAATGCATTATACAGAAAAATTCCAATTTTGTTTTTACATTCTAATAATTTTCTTTTTTCAGGTTTATGTTAAAGCGGTAAATAGCGGAGCGCAAAATTTGGAAGATATATTGTATTCTGAAAAAAATAAGCTAAATATTGCAACAACTGGTCCAAGAATAGTTCATCAGTCTACAAAAAGTCATAAAATTGTTGATTCCGAAGACATTAATCAAAAATCTTTAGTAAAATCAGACGGAACTCTAATAACAGAAAAAAAGAAAACAACAGAACACGAAGAAATTTTTGATAAAGATTCACCAGATAATGATGATTCATCTTATAAAAATCATGCGGATATAAATACGATTGTAAATTTCATTAAAAAAAAAAAATAATAAATAAATTACATATTTTAAAAAAATTTTTATTCTCGCAATAAATAAAATTTTTATTGTAGGAATCTTCTCAACGATTTTTTAAACAAAGAGATGAGCAAAATGTTGAATATGTTGCAGATGACAAAGTTATAGCAAAAGAAATGCGTTACGCGGCTGAAACCGAACAAATGGAAAGAGATGGACCTCATGAGGGTCCTCACGATTGGGATAGTTTATCCGATCGAATTCGTAAAACACGTCGTAATCATAAAACTATACTTCAACATCAACGGGGTAAGAATAATGGTTAAAAAAATAAATAATAAGTAAAATAATCTTAACATGATTAAGTAAACCCATTCATGAAAAAACATTTTTAGAAGCAGCGATCTTAGCTGACCGGAAAGATGCGTTGACTAAACGTCCATTAAATTTTGATCGGGAAGAAGAAACCCGGAAAGGTGAAACAATGAAATGGTTAGAGTCTCATTTTGGGAGCGAATCTACTGCCTCTTCAGATTCACGAGATGGTGATCATGAATCTGATTTAATAGAACCATCAAAAAAGACTTTTTTCAATGTTACTATTAAATCTAATCATACATTAATTGGTAACAATCAAAATGGATATGAAAATTATCAGCAAGGAGCAAATGGAAAACATTCAGATGGAGTTTTACATTTTACTTCAAAAGTATCAGTTCCCGAGAAGAACGCAGTATTAGCCAATAATAAAACAAAATACTTTCAAGGTATTTCAAATTGGTCTGAAAGACGAGAATCGAATCCGAAACACTTTGCATCAAAAGCTTTTAAGGACGAACTTCAGGGTACTGTAGAGAAAAATAACTTAAAACATATTTCTAGAGAAGATTTACGAATTATAAAAACCATAAAAACGGATGACAGTAATAAAAGAGAAAATTTTGTTGAGCATAAAAAGCAGCACTATGGCTCTAAAGGTGATTTGAAATATCATAGAAAGAGCTCAGGCGACGATATCGATGATCCCAAAATTATCAGACTTCAAAAACACGATTTCAGTTATTTGGGAGATTTAAGTAAAGACGGAAGGTGCCATAAAAATGTAAAAGATGATAGAAATTTGCATAGTTTATTAAAAATTAATTCTCGTTTGAAGCGCGAAGACTCTGGTTTCGTAAGAGATTCTAGAGAGGATGTTCACATTACTAATTTAAAAGATGTTGAAAATGAAAGTTTTGTAGATTACAAGCAACCAATACTGCAGAAAGATGAATCAACTTACATGTCTTCTTCTAACTACTTAGAAAGCCCTATAAAAACATCACAATTGGGAACCCCAGATAGTGGTATTCGTTCTCCATCTTCTGAACCATATGATATCAATATGACTTTTCAATCACAACGCCCATCTGTCCCAATTCGTAAAAGAGCTATTGAGAAAAAATTGAGGCAACAACCAAAACCTTTTATTTCATCGCAAACTCGAATTCATGAAAAGCAACGGCATCACGACGAGCCCCCACCAGATTATTCTCCACCACCGCGATCGCGTTCTATTTCCCCTGCGATACATTTACATCCTGAGGTTACACATCAACTTAGCTCCGGTGTTGAATATGCAGACAATCATCAACTATCGAATGGTGTTTCAATACAAACTCCACGTTCCAGATTTTCATCCAACACACCAATATTTAATCAAAGTGTTCAAAACTCTAATTTATCTACACCGAGACCAACGGTATCTACTCAAACATCACCTCAACCAAAACAACCTACCAAAGTAGGACAAGCTATTGGTAATTCTTTCAGAAAGCTTGTGGGAAAAATAAGGTCTGCAAGTGCCGAAAGAAAATTAAAAATGAAATCAAAAAGTAAAAGCTCTGAGCGATCTCCCTCACCTTTACTGCGTAATAAATCGCTTCCAAATGAATCTACATACCAACAGTATAATGTTATCGATAGTCATATCGGTGAAACAACAAATGAAAATAGTAATGGTAATAACTTCGGAAATAATGTGCGTGTGAATAAAACTTATTCAAATAAGGTCTTACAAAATCAACCTCAGAGAAATTCTGTAAATCGCGAATCAAGTTTTGCAAGCAGCTCTGTAACACAAGGTTTAAAAGATCGCCGACAAAATCCAAATAATCGGGAGGAATTAGATTCCTTATCACCTAATAATTTAGACAAAAATGCAGCTGAACTGTATGACAATGACATTTCGAGTCCAAAACAACGATATTATTTAGGTGAAGATCCTTATGGAAACAGTATTTTTGGAAAAGAAAACAAATACAAAAGAAATGTCGAAGACCCCAAGTATGAATCTAAAGCTGCTTTAAACGGAAATCATAGAAGAATAGGAATAATTACAAACGGGACGGAAGGGCAAGAAATTTATAGTCAAAGGTAATGTTTTAAACTTTTAAAATTATTTTTAAAATTAATTAATTATTTAATTTGATTTTTAAATTTCTGTTATGCGTTATTTTAAATCCTAACAGAAACACAAAACTAAAATTAATTACCTTCAGATATTAATTTTGTTAATAATTTTAGAAACGCAGCCTCCACGCTCGGTCGTTATCAAAAATCAAATGCAAAACACCTTGGTTCAACTCCAAATTTAGATTATCACTCCAGAGTGGCGCAAACACTACCGCGAAAATTGGAACATCGTCCTCAACATCATTCGTCTACCATCAACGTCTCTATTGTAAATCAACTTAAACCAGCTTACAATTCAGGACCGGCTAAACCTGCACGTACATATAGTAAACCTATACTTAACAGAAGCAAAAGTTTTAACGTTCATGGTATGAACGGTACAAACGATCCCAGTCCTATTTATTTAGAAAAACTAACGAAAAATAATTACACCGGTAATATACACAAGTCAAATCCACATCTGAATGAAAGTGGACCTCAACTTAAAAGTCCTTCAATAGTTAATTTAATAAGTCGGAGTCAAAAAGATTTATCGCGATTAAATTCAAACGATGACTCTGAAAATAAATATTTGAATTATATATCTGAAAGACAGAATATGGTAAAACCGACTGAAGAAGAAATGCTTCAGAGTGTTGTTCATGCGAACAATAGGATATATAAATACTCAGATGGGCGAAATCAGCATTCGTTGCCAGTAGAACCTCATTCATCGGTTGAGTTTATTAAAGACACTGCTAGTATTTTAAGACGAGGAAGCTCTAGCACTGAAGATTTTGTTGATTCTTATAATTATGTTTCAAAAAATGATAAGCATATAAATATGGGCCAAAATTTTTCTAAAGCTAATGTACCATACAAATCAATAGAGTCTAGTGGAAATGAACTTACTTCATCTAGTCGATATCGTAAAGATCAGTTTCCGAATCTGCAGCATAATGGCGAATACAAAAATCCGAATAGCAGTGGTGGTACAACTATAATTGAAGTCAAGGGAGGAAAATTAAGAAAGTAGCCGTATTTTATTCAACTTGATGAAATATAAAACGTTTATTAGCTGAGTTATGAGCGTTGGCTAAATAGACTGGTTAACGAATGCAACAACATGATTTGCCATAAAAATAACATTAAAATTCGCTAAGTATACAATTAAATGTCGGGTGTTAGTTCGATTTGACTTCGCAAATATATATATATATATATATATAAGTATAATATATATTATAATATAATATATATAGTATATATGAATATATATAAAAGTTATGTGACATTTTAATTTAATATTATACATATTTACAGTTAAAATTAAATTTTTTTAATAATATTATGTATCAGTTCGAATTACTAAATGCTAATTCAAAAAATGCTAATTTGTATCAACTAAATGCTAATTCAAAAATGTTAAAAGATATAAAAAGAAATGAAACTTAATAATTAATTTTTTATATTTTTTACTTCCAATTTTATTTTATTTTAAGCAAAAGATATCTACATATACTTTTGGGAGACAGATAAGGATTAACTCACGGAGAAACTAGGTTTCAAGCGAATCAGATACGTACTACTACTATACTTCCTTTTAGTTGTTTTTTTTAGTGTTTTATAGCTTTAACCTTATGAACTGCATTTTCAGAAATACTCAATATTTAAAGTTTTTTTTTAATAATTACTCACTGAAATTTTGGTGACTCACTAAAATAATGCAAATTATAATTTACTTTAACAATGAAAATGCATTGCAACTATTCTGCAATTTTTTTCATAAACAACTTGTTTGAATATAAAATTGATAAACTTTAAAATTTTAAAGAACGCGGTGGGAAAGCACGCATTTTAGCTTATATAAAATCACGCAATCAATTTTAAGTACATAAAATTTAAAAAATTCGATTTAAAATGATATACTCTAAAATTTAAAAAAAATTATTTATTAAAAATATTTCATTTGAATCGTTTTAATTAATAATTATAATTTATAATTAAAAAACCACACCGTAATTTTAATTTTCAAAATCAAATCATTATATACTATTTAGTTAAAAGTAATTTATATTCTTTTACAATATTTTTTTCTTCTACGAAATTCATATCTAGATATTCGTCTTCTACATTTGACACATCTTCAGCAAATCTTTCATACGCTTCTTTAGCTTCCTTCTCCTTTTTGATTTGCTTTTTAACAATAGAAATAACATTACATTTGTTATCAGTGGAAGGTCCAGCTACATTTTCATTGAAACATAATGAATTTTCATTTTCTATAACTTGTAAAATATTGTCAAAATCATCTTCAGAATGTAGTTTTAACAAAAATTCAATGGCTTCCTCTTTATTGTTCAGAAACGATTTCAAAGCGGTTTCAACCATTTCTTTTTTGAAACCTAAACTGCATAATTCATCGACAAGATCACACTGGGGCTCAACTTTTGGTATTTCTGCTTTCAAAGCTTCTCCATGATTTTGAATTAAATCGATCTACAAAAATAAATATTAGCTATTTTGTTAACGAATAGAAAAAAAGAACGAATGATTATTTTGGGTTGAATAATAAAATTAAGAAAACAAATTGAAAATTATTAAGAAAAGCACTAAACTGTTACAATCAAGAACCACAAAAATCATACTTACAGCTTGTGTTAAATCGTTATTAGTCTTTTTCAATGCCATGATAGCGATTTCGGTCACGAATCCCATTTCCACTAATGTAGTAACACTTTTTGGATTGACCCATTCGCTTCCTTCCAGTTTTCTGATTTTATTGCCGATGTCCAATTCTTTATTAGCCCTTTTCCGTGCTTGTTCTTTAGCTGCTTTGCGTTCCGCAATAAAATTTATAGCTTCATTTATATTATTATAACATGCTCTCAAAGCAATTTTAGTTTCCAGTAGATCATAACCCATATTTAACATGCTTAACAACTTTTCTTCATCTATTTCTAATTGTGATATTTCACTTTCAACTACCAAAAGCTTTTCATAAGCTTCATTGCGCTTATTTTGATGATAATAAAGAACACCTTGCAGTAAATGAAACCGCATGACTAAAGCCCGTTCATTCCCGATCAAATTTCCTTTCAATTTAAAAAGTCGACACATATCGCTACCATAACTTCTTTCAAAATTCTCTTGGCATATTTTTAGCCTTCTATCAGCGTCTTGAAGGTAACTAAAGCTCTAATAAAAGAATTCATTAACTTAAGAAACATAGTTATTTTGAAACAAACCTTCAAACATAAATAACACCATACGATATCCAGGTTCAGTAAGGCATAATTATCTACTTTATTCAAAATTTCAGATTGACAGGATGAAAACTCTTCATCTGATTCTAAAAATAAAACTAAAGCTTCTTCGTATTCCCGTCTTTTTAAGGCACTTCGACCTTTTTCGTATAGAGCTAATGCAAGTATTATTGAATTTCTTTCATTGGGTGGTAAATGTAATAAATTCCCATCTTGATCCTCCATCTAAATAAAATTTGTATTAAATACTAAAATGTTTGCGTACATATATTATAAAGATACAGTCAAAAATTCCTGGTTTTTTGAAGATAATATTAGAAAAGCATCTTCTTTTGCTTTTCTTACTCGCTCATGTATGTTAGAATTTTCTTCAGTGCTAACTAAAATAATGGCTTGAGCTTTGTTTTTAATACCTAAAATGAAAGCACAAGCTGAAATATATTTTGTAAAAATCGATATAAATTTAAGAGATGAATCTAAACTTGCATTACTATCGTAAATGAAATTTAAATGTGAAATTATTTCCTTAACCTTGTGAAATTAAACTGTTTTCTTTTTGCAAAACTTTTCCACCAATTATAATTTTTATGTTATTTTCATCACACTCGAGTTTATGAGATATATCTTCATAAATATTAGCTCCTAAGATTGTGGGAGGATATTTCAAGTTTAGAACGAGAAAATTGTCATTATCTTGATTTTTTTTTTTCACCACTTGCGCTAAAAAGTTGTTGCATTAAAATTGGTAGTTGGATAAATACAGATGATTTTTACCTTTAAGGATTACTTCTCCTAAAATACGAAAAGATTGAAATAATAATTTTTTTAAAATGTACTGCCTATTTCTTCTTTAAAATGTACTGTCTATTTCTTACCTGTTTGTTCCGAAAGAGCCCGTGCTCTCAATTTTTCAATTGCTCCATCTTGGAGCTCACATAACGCAATTTTACAGTCTGTCCATGGTATACTTAAATGTTCTGAAAACTCCTTGGCTAAAATCTTTAAAATATGCCCTTGTTTACCATTTTAATAAAAAAAAAAAAACAAAAAAAATACATCGAGTTCGCTTTCATTAGGACCAATTTCTTCAAAATAATAAGGTTCAAGCCAAAGTTTAACACCCAAACTCCTCAGTTTTTGTCTTACTTGTATTATTATATCTTCAGCTGACAAAGCCATGAGCTCGTTTTGTATTGACAAAATTAAACGAATGAATAGTGTAGTAGCAGTTCTCTTTCCTTATTTATTTTAAGCATTTAATAGAAAAGATGCTCTTTCCGGTGAATACAGGTCTGAATTCTGGGAGTTGCTTCTTGCAATTAATAAATGCTTCGTAATTTCGTCTTTATGTGAAATTGTTGAATTTTTTTATTATTGTTGCGAATTGTTTTTATTTGGTGTTTATTTTTCTTAAAAAAGTGTCAATTGTCAATAGTTTGCTTGTCATGATGAGATGACAGAAAAATACGTAAATTACATGGCAGAATAGTAATGGAACTTTCTTTTACCATCATTAATAGGGATGGAGCAACGATCGCTGAATAGTGATTTTTATTTAGTGTTATATCTAAGGTTTTTTTTAATTTATTACAGCAGTTGAAAATAACAATAAAAGAAATATTGTATTTTTTTTGTTCTCTCAGGGTGTTTACGTTTTTTAGTTCAAAGCTCGAATCTCATCAGATTCACAGTTGTCGGAGAATGTCTGTGACAAAATGAAAAGCTGTGATTTGAAAATTGAAGACATTTTCAATGGGCTATGTTTTAGGAGATCTGAATCGGCTCTGGTGTAAAAAACGGATGCGTCAAGAGAGCGTAGTAAACTTACAAATTCTTCAATTTGTTTTTCATGTTCCTGTTGTAAACAAATAAAACATTATTGTGTTTGAAATTTTTAAAACCGGCGTCGCTAAGCTCTTGTTGGATTGTTGACATAATTAAATTAAAATTATATTTTTTGTGTCCATCCATACAATACAAATGCTGTTAATTTTAGCTTAACAGTTTTTAACAATTATTATGGATAGTAAGTATATCTTTACGTTGCTATTGGAAACTTAAATGTTTTGTACTTATTGTCAAAAGTGTACAACAGTTATCTTAAAATAAATTATTACCATAAACAATATCGAAAGATCTATCAATTCCTGCTTTCTTTTCAAACATAAATTGATAATAAAAGTTTTAATAAATCAATGGCAGAAGAAATAAATCTTCATAAAATTGTGGAAATGCCAGAAAAGGAATTTAGAAAGCATATTTATAACTGGTTACGTGATAAGGATTTATCCAGGGAATTGCAGGCAAAACTAAGAAAGAATCTTATTGAAAATTTCAATAACACTCGCCTTGGTATGTATTAATAATTGTTTTAATGTAGGATAGGTATACAAATTTATTTTTTCTGAATTTATCCGGCACCTACCCACTTAGTTGCCAGTTAACGTATTGATTCAGTTTGATTTAAACACAGACATTTTTATATAGTAGTTTATGGATTTAAATGAATTACGATTTTATAAGTAATAAGTGTCGAATGTCTTCTGGTTAATCCATTTTGCAAATTTAACCAAATGTGGTTGAGTAATATCAATTTCTGCACAATTCATAACAAACAAGGCACAAATTTTATTTTTAACTTTTTAATCGTTATTGAAAAATACAAATTTACAAAAATGTTTTCTCCTTTTTAAAGATCCTAGTTAAAAGTAAAATAAATATAATAGACATTTTGAAAAAGCTTTGCTTTAGAATTGCATATATAACGACATAAGTACATTTATATTTATTTTTCAGGCAAAATAATTAATGTTCAACATAATAGAAAACAGAAATTATTTAAATCTCCCTTAAATTTGATATTAAATACTTTAGTAGCGGAACATCTTTATGTTGAAAACTGTCATTACACTTTATCAGTTTTTTGTGCTGAAATGCCTAACGAAATAGTTCCTCCAAATCTTGAAAGCAGAACCGATTTTCGCTTCTCAAAGGAAAATCTAATAGAAATTTTTGAAGCATTTGGTAATGGAAGCCTTAATGAAAGAATGAGAAATATTGTTTTAGACAATTATATGCAAGATGATAGCGAAGAAAAACCTATTTCATCTTTACTTTATGTAATATTTGAAACTGTATTCAAAAATTTGTTTAAGAAAAATGATGTAGCATTAGATGATTTTACAAATCAGAAACAAACAAAATTAAAACAAAACATATCGAAAGCTTCAAAAAGGCAAACAACTTTGAATTCATCTTATAAATTTAAAAAAATTTTTACACAAAATTTTCGATTTTTGAAAAAATATTTAATATTATTAACGGATAAAATGAAAGAAATATCAATATTCATATATAAACTGCGGCATAAAAACTCCACATTTCCAAACAATAAAAGTGAAATTCTTCCTGAAATAAAAAAAGTTCATCAAAATTTGGATAAAATATCAGAATTGCTTTCTAAACAAAATAACAACAAATTTTCCTCTTTACTTACTGCCACAAATGATATGTCTAAAAAGATGGAAATTTGTATTGACCATTTCAACAATATTTTACGAAATAAAACAAATGTAGAAACAACACCCCAACCAGTAGAAAAAGATTTTCAGCAATGGTTTTCTGAAGTAAAAAATACAAAATCAGGGAAAGAATTTTTATCAAAGGTAAGGTTTTTTTTGATATGATATATTAAGTTTACGTTTTAAGGAAGGGCAGAAACTATAATAAAGTCAAAAATTATTTTATTTTCAATTAGATAGTATTGAACGTAAAAAAAACTAGTTTTTTATTTATTTTTTAAATATTGCCGTAAATAATATTATGCACGTAGGTTTTTGTATGTAGGTGTAGCTTACATGTAAGATAAATAAATATCTTAAAAAATAAAAAAAAATTAAAATACCCTTCATCTTAAGCTTGAATCTTCAATACAAAAAATATTATTAAAACAAAAACATTGCATGTTGCGAAAATTTGAAAAAAAATTGGAAAACGAAAAGAAAAAGCTGAAAATAAGATATAAACAACATTATTTAAACAGTGAAAGATTTTTAGAAATGAAAAATACAAGCACTGATGGTTTGCAAAGTAATCCTTCAAAAAATATAATGCAATTTTCGGAAAAACCGAATGAGTTTAAAGATTTTTCGAAATCATTACACGTTGAAGTCCCTGATGGTATTGCACATAATGAAAATAATATTGTCGGTAGCAGTAAAAACGGAGACGAACTGGTAAATCAACCATTTGTATTACTAAATATTTATTGTATTTCTTTTCCCTTTCAAAGAACCTAGAAAAGTCTAAACAAGAACTATCACGGATTATAGAGTATGAAAAGAATTTGTAAGTATGTGTGGATTGTTTTTATTTGCAAATTTTCTAGAAGAAATTCTTTCAATTCTCCAGCGAAAAAAAGTATGATTTGCACATTTATTTTCTGTTAAGTACAGATGTGATTTTCTTAAAAAGTAGCTCTAAGATCTCTAAGATAATAATTTTCTTTCATTGAAACTTGATTTCAGATTAGAAAGGCATTCAAGACGAACGCAACAGGAAAAATGTATCGATAGCATTGTACATGAAGCTCGGTAAATATACAAAAAACTAAAAATTACTTCATAAAAATGATTGAATTTAAAGTAAAACATTCTTATGTAAATATTTTCGTATTTAGATTAAAAATTCAAGAACTTGAAAATGAAAGCTTAAAAATTGATGGTGCTTTTAAAACCCATTTGTTATCACAACGCGATCATCATGATAAATCGAAACAGAATGTGGAACAAATTTGGGGAAAATACAATTTAGAAAAAACTATACTACATAAAAAATGTAAAATTTTGCAAAAGAATACGAAAATTTCGAAATTTAAATCAGAAAATTTAGAGAGAGATATTACAGCAATATTTGAGGCGGCAGCTGATGTTAAAATTGAACAAAAGGATAAAACATTTTCAATTTCAAATGATGAAGATGGTTATGATACGACAAATAGTATTGTATTCGAAAATCCATTTAAAGAAACCCAAAATAAAGTGTCAGCAAAATTGCGGTCTTCCCAGAATAAAAATTTGAAAGAAAATTACTATTTAGGCAACGATAAAGATACTTTAAAAAATAATGAGTTAGAAACAAAAAACACATATTTGCCAATTACAGTTGAATATCGCGAAGAAATCAATGATCAACAACAAAACTTCAATAAAACAAAATTATTTAAATCGTTTCAAGATAACCAGAAAGAAGAAATGCACACAAAGAAAAATAAACAACCGTTTCCTCACAATGAAAGCGATTCAAAAGCACATATTGAAGAAATTTCGGCAATAAAAAACAGTCATTTATTAAATATACCTAGTCGAAGCAATAGTCAACATTCTGAAGAAAATCTAAGCGGAGATCAATCGAAAAAGGAATTAACAAAGAAAAAAAACAAAGAATCAGGATATTTACAAAATATATTTCAGATCAATTCTTTTGGGAAAACTAAAGAAAATTGAAAGCAAAATATTTGAATCCTCACTATTCTTGATAACTGAATCTGGCATAATGGACTGAAAACTTTTTAATATAAGTATATTACGTAGTTTTATTATAAGGTAATTTTTATGATTTCATTCAATTTATTAATTAATAATAATAGAAAATTAAATGATTTTTACATTTATACAAGAACCAATAACTGAAAATTATTGTTGCTGCCTTAATAAATTCTTTAAGGTTTATTTTAAACAAATTGAATTGTCATTAAATTGGTGATGTGTGTACTGACTATAAAAGTTATTCATCTAACGTAGAAGATAGGGAAAAGACTCACTCTTTGAAAGAAAAATGTTGTAATATTTACAAAAAAAAATGAAACAAGGACAAAATTTTGCATCTTGAATATCCTTTTTTTTCATTGCATTAACTTTTTAGTTCAAATTAAATCACTTTCGAAAGTTCAAATTCCTTTAAAAATAATGAAGAATAAGAAATAAGTGGTGGTTTCTTGTATACTATTGCATCATTGTTTGAAGAGAAAAACACCATAAATCGTGTGCGTTTTAACATTTTTTCATAATCTTTATTTTATGTTATGTTTTTTTTGTTTCTTTAAATCCTTAGAGGAATTTTTTGCTCTAATAACTTCATTAAACTTGAGTTCCGTTGATGGTATCATAATTTCCCTCATTGAATAAGTTTGCATGTGATACTCTGCAGTCTTTTTCGATTTGATCAAGGTCAAATGATTCATTTGTCATAACGTTTGATAATTCATAATTATTATTGAAATATGGTATGAAATTCCTGGGCTTTTTATGTTCACCTAAGTTAGAATTTAATTTTTTGTTTCGTATTATTATTCTTGTAATAAAAAAAAAAAATAATATAGTGGAAAAATTACCTGAAGGAATTCGATTATAAAAATTTGAAGATTTAATTGAATAACTTGGTGATACTGGAATAGCTTGTGGCCATTGTATAGTAGCTATTGATCTTCTTTTTCCATATGAGAATTCCATATCTTCACATGATTTACAAAGTTCTTTATTTGATACATTAAGTCTCATTTTATTATGTAAATCTAATGAATTTTCTTGTGAATAAGCATAATTTTGATTTTCTTCATAATTTTTTTTCATAAAAGATCTCGGTAAAGTTTGACTTTGATGTATGGCATCATTATAATATCCACCTTTTGAAAAGTAAAAATCATTATATTTATTTACATCTTTTATATCACGTTGATGTAAACTAGTAAAACTTTTAATATGAGATTTTTCATAATGATTTTTCAATGATGCATTCGAATCAATGATAGACAAATCTTTTAATGAGTATTGATTTTTTTTTATTTTTGAATAATTATCAACTAGAAAAATATTTTCTTCTGAATTCTCTGTTGGATTTTCAATAAAGTATATATTCTTTGATTTTGGTTTAACTCCAGTTCTTTTGAAAAATTCATTTATTATATCATCTTTAGTTTTTCGTATTCCACGAGAAATTTCTGAAGGAAAACCACAGTAATCATTTCCAGTAACATTTCCATAGGATTTTGTTGATTCCATTTTTTTATTTTCTGAAAATATTTCAGTTGTTGTTGATACACTACGTGTTAATGGAGATCCTTTATGTAACGATAAATCAAAATTTGAAAAACATGGTGCTGGCTCGGTATATAATTGATTAAGACTTTTAGCCAAATTCTGTGAATCATGTTCAATTCTTTTCAATTTTTCAAAGTAATATCTTGAAGATTGAGAATTAAGAAAGGATAAGTTGCTTTTTTCAAATTATGTTTATTAAATTTAATAGTTAATTTTGCTTTTATATTGAAAATATATTAAGAAATTTGTTAAGCAAAATTTTCATATAAGGAAATGTTTGCGTATATTATAATCGTATTACCTTTTACCTGTGTCACTATCAAAAAGTAAATTAATTGGAATGGCATGTTTTTTACAAACAAATTCTGGATCAAGTTTTCGACAAGTTCTTGAAGAATTTTTACTTTTTGGATAAAAAGCAATAAATGACCAGCATGGCAATTTTTTCTGAAATTTAAAATTAATGGTATCTTAAGTATAATATTAAATACTTATTTTTAATCTTACCTCATTATTTTTTAGCTCTAGCAAACTTATATATAAAAAAATGTTCAAAAGTCCTACAAATTCTGTAAAAATAAATCCGAAAACATATATAAAAAAACTTTGTCCGTATGCAAATTTAAAAATTGGTGGCTCAAATACAGATTTGGAACGTAATTTTGATCCTATTTCAGATTTAAATATTGAGATGTAAACAATTAAACCAATTAGCATTAGTAACCCTAAAATTAAATTTTTTTTTTAAATAATATAGAAATATGAAAATTTTGATTTTGAGGTTTACTAATATGTTTACCTGACACAATGAATAATATTCCAGCTGTAAAATAGTATAAATTGTTTTGATAGAAAATTGTTGGAATTAAAAATACCACAAATGATATAATTAACATTACTCCAGAAGTTAAAAAGAATGGACATGAATTGATTATTGTGTCTATAATAGGGAGATAAGAGAATATTAAAATTTAATAATAATTCAATAGTTATATTTTTGTCTAACAATTTCACTCCTAAGTAAAATTAGCATTCATATATTATATATTAAAATTAAATATTAAAGGATTGGCCTATGTGGTACCTATTTAGGCATTGTGTCCGAATATTCAAATTAATTAAATTTAATTTAAACCATAAAATTTATTTCTATTAAATCAAATTATGTATTTTATGAGAATTCCTATATAATTTTTTAAAAATTATTAAAAAGTATGATTGTATAAAAAAATATATAATTTTTATTATATAACTTCCAGGTTACGACCGAAATGGAAGAAATAAAAATTAAGATAATAAGAAAATTCTAGTAAAACATAATGAAATATCCTTTCAGATTTTCAATTTATGTAATTTTTTTTTATTTTCATTTTCTTTTTTCTTATTTTTTCTTATCAATTTTATTGAATTTCCGTTTGCTTTGGGGTTGATAGAAAGAAAGGTGTTAACACAAAAACAAAAAAAAAAGTTATTCAATTCAATTTTGGTTCAAATATAAAATCGATTTTTATAACAATATTAAATTTTAATAGCCTTAAAATGTTAATGGTAATATTTTTTTTGCAATTTTTATAATTGCATTTAAATTACTGAGATGAAAATTAAAACAAAAAAAACCGAAGGTTTTTGAAGTAAAAAATTTTAATAAAAAAAAATATTTTTTTTTACAAGGAATAGCAGAAGTGGAATCATGTGCATCAGCTCTGTATTCCTCCTTTGGAAAGTAATCAATTTTCATGCAGCTATAGCTTTCGGCATCTTGAAAAGGAAAAGAAACAAAATATTTTTATTTTAAAAACGGAGTTGTGTCATTGCAAAATATTTATAAATTTGAAACATTATTTTCGTCTATGTACATACATAAATATAAGGGAATAACATTTGGTCATATAAAAGTAATTTAATTGTGTTATTTAATAAGAGTGAAATTGCGATCGTTGTATTTCGTTATTTTTAGATAAAAGAGTAGATTTATTCTAATAGAAAAAGTTAGGGAGTTTCGACATCAATTTAAGTTATTTGTAAATTTTGTTGAATCAAAATTGAAAACATTGTTTCCTTTTTACCTTTAAAGAAAGTCTACAGACTTTCATTAAATTTTGCTCAAATAAAACAAATTTGACCAACATTTTTTGATGGTCAGAGGGTGTTTTTTAGTTTTATGCTGTATTTTATATTAGAAAATAATTAATTTGGACTTTATTAAGCTTTCTTTATTGTATACTTTTAGGGCTTAATAAAGATATGGATATAGAAGAATTTTAAGAAAATAAATGAAATTTGCAAAACTAAAATTGTGGAAGTTAAACAAAAAAAGAATGAATCAAAATTAGTATGAAGTCTCTAATTGGTTTTATTTGTTTTTATTTTTGTTATTTTTCACTTATTGGAACATTTTCTCCTGAATTGAATCCCATGTTGAAGGTACGTTCCAATTGCATCCCATATGCGAATCGAATTGAAAATATAACCCGATAAGATCTATTTGATGTTATTGTATTTTAATTATTTATCATAAAAAAATATAAAGACTAAAGCTTATATAAATATCAAATTGTGATAATTTCAGTCATATTAATATTTAATTAATTTTAATTTTCTGCTTAATACAGAATTACAAATCGTAAATAAATTAGAGCATTATATATATTAAAACTATACAGTAAATTCGTAAAAATTGTAAAATTTTCGGTTCTTTCTGCGATTATCTATGATTACTTTCATTTTTTCTTTGTTTTAGATTCAAAATAATTGGAAGAATACTTTATTTTACAAGGATTAATAATGCTTTTATAATCATTTATTTATTGTTAATGCAATAATTTAAATGTTATTGTTGTTCTTGTTGTATGCTATTCAAACTCTTCAAATTTTGTCATCTATACATATGTATGAACATAGAATTTTGCATTTTATTAAAATGCTTTATAATGTTATATGATGATTAGTGTACCTTGAACTGATTGAAAGCTACAATTTGTTGAATTATTAAGTATTGCAGAGCATATTATCCATAAACTTGATTTAGTACATTTAGACATAGTAGATCCTTCTTTATCCAATTTTAAATTTGGTCCAATTAATCTTTCTTCAGTTATTAACCATACAGGACCAGCTAAAGCAGCTATAATCATAATAACTGAAAAGCTAATAAAAAAATTTTTGCAAATTGTAAAAAAAATATTTATTATTCTTAAGATTATTTTGGTTAAAAAAAAACTTCTGTATAATAGAATCAAATTTTTTGAAATATAAAATTTACCTGGCAGCCAAAGGTGTTAAAATCCAAAGTATATAACTATTTTTTTCAACTGCTAAAATTGCTGGTTCTGTTGAAACAAATTTATTTATTTGATTTTTATTATTTTCCTCATATCTATTTTCATTTGTCCATTGTCTTTTATTATTCATTGAATTGATAATATTTTTTGATCTCATTTTCATTTCTAATAAAGAATTTTTATTTGTAGTTTCATTAAGGTTTTCCATACTAAAATTTTTAAAAGAATAATATCAAAAATTTCAATTAGCCTTTAATGAAAGAGCCAGTTTGAAAGACTCAAACTCATATTAATTTCTACAAGATTGTTTTGTTCGAAATTGAAATCAAACATGTACGTGATAAGTTTGATTGCATAAATATTTAAAAAAATTTATTTAATTTTCCTCGCGAAATCATTATCCAGCTATTAATAAAAAAATTTTAAATATTCCGAAATATTAAAAATTTTTTTATTTATTCAATTAAAAAATTAATTTAATTTTTTAACAATTTAGAAAATTCTAGATATATATAAAAAACACAAATAGATTAGACAAAACTTTTTTAAAAATAATTACAATTAATTAATTATTTTATAACTTGTATACAAGTCTTCACCATTTAACTTTATTTACGGTATATTATTTACACATTAACACTTAAACAATTTAAAAAATTTTTAATTTATATTTTTTCAAATTCATATTTTATAAAATTTGCTGGTTTCTCAAATTTTTTTCCGTTTAAATTTCTATATTAATTTATTAATAATTATTTAATATCAATTGTTTTGACTTAATTGGTATGCTTAGACGCCAGCATTTCGGCTTTAAAAATTGTAATAATTGGCACCACTTTAATTTTTCTATAATATATGTATATATTCAAGATAAAAATAATTTTCCAAATTTAATATGATGATAACATAACGACGTTTAATATGCAACTGAATTGTTACAAAAAAAAAAGTGCTAAGATTTGTTACAAAAGAATGCGCGCGATGTTGAGATTTTATTCCTATATTTTTCTATATATTTGAAAAAAAAAGAACGATTAATAAATTACTTACACACGTTTGAACAAACATTCAAGTAATATACATATACACATACACAAATGTATAGTATATACATACATATATGGATTTTTAAAAGTAGAAAAGTATTATTTTTTTTATTTTTGTTTGTTTTCCATATATTATACTGGGAGCTTATTATAGTTCTTGCGACAGTTTTCGAAAATTTTATAATTAAAATTAATTGCACGATAGTATATGAGTAGTACAAGCTTTCTCCTATTACAAATTTTATTAAAAAAATATTTTTTATAAAAATTTAACTTACCAATTTCATAACACTCTGTTGTTATTAATAGAACAAAATTATAGGTATGTTTGTGCAACCGTTACGCAATTATGTACCAAATTAAATAGTAAAAAGATTGGTCGGATTTGCAGTGGGGATAATTATAAGAAATGTAATGGAAATTTGTGAGAAATGTAAATAAATGGTAGAATGCGAACTTATAAGCTAAGGATTTCAAAAATTTTTAATTAATTAAGCATTGTCCTTATAAATAAATACGTAAAATAATTATTTAATTAAATTTTTGGAAGAAAGTGTTTTAAAGCAAAATGAATATTTTATTCTTCAGGCCTTTGAGTACGTTTTTAATAATTAAAATTATTTTTACCAGAAATCGGGTTTATTTTTTAGGTTTATTTCGCGGAAAACTGTAAATATGTATACGGATAGTTAGATTTCACATATCTGAAAAACAATAAATATAAATGAGTTATTGTCCCAGAAAGAATCCATTTTATGTTTTTAACACATAGGTAGCCTTTTTTTTTATTTCAGGGATTTATTTTTCGATATTTTGCTAATCAAATTAAAATTGCAATACTTTTAGGATATACAATTTTATTATTTATGTAGGTCTGCAGATGGTATATCTTAATTTTGCAAAATAATTTTAAGGACAAGAATCTATGTATAACGCATTCAAGAATTTTTTCGCTATATACGAAGTTATTTGATGGTTAATATCTAGATTGAATACCACCTTCATCCATTTCTTTTTTATACCATCATTTAGGTATATGTGAACTCCTCATATATAATTTAGATCCTGAATGGTAATTATAACTAAAAACCATTTAAAATAAATTCTTAACATATGTTAGTAGAAGTATGTTACATAATATGTAATTTTAAATTAATTACATTATAATTTTTATTTTGCCCTAGCATTAATTATCTGAACATTGAATTCTTTTCTTTTCTTCCACTTTATATACATATACATATGTACGTATATATTTTGTTTTAGAGTGGAATACTCGTAGAAATAAGTTCTCTAATGAATAAAATTTAATGTGTATTGTGTTTGTAGGGTATTTTTAATGTGATAATTGCAATCATTGTATACAAAATTACCACTCCTTGAAAGAAAAGAAAAGAAAATTTAATATTATATTTATATGTATATATGTAATTAAAAATTATAGAGCCAAACCCATGCTTAGAAACAACTTATACTTTTATAAATACTTGAAAAATTTCAAGGTAAAATATATAATTTATGAATGATTTAATGACGTACACCTACACAATAAGTACATATTATATTTAACATTGTAAATCTAATTTGTCGCATTTTCACCTGTTGAAGGATTTTACAAAATATTTCATAGTTCATAATGTACATGTACATTAATAAAGCAAGTTTAGAAAAAAAGAAATTAAACAAATTATTATCCTTTATTTATACAGTAAATTTCTGTAAGAGAATTTGTTAGAATTTTAATTTAATATTAAATTTTTTTAGCTTTAAAATAAGGTTAATTTTGAGGAAAACAAAATTTTGCTTGTAATATTTAATTGGTATCGTAATTAATCATATTTTATATTGGTAGTGTTATAATTGCCGACTGGTTCTGCCATTTTCAAATTTTCTTCAAAATTTTTTTATTAAATATTTATTAATAAATTAAAAACTCGAAAATGTGTAAAAAATTTCTTAATGGTCGTACGTGATTCTGAAACATGTACACGCTTTATTATATTATTTTTAAAATCATTTATGCATATAATGTGGGTACACATTACCACTTTACTCACATATTACATTTTATGTGTTATAACTAAAATAATCGTTTCTGAATAAATTCGTTGATTACAATCACATTGTCTGTGAATTTACACCAATCGAAGAATAATTTTTTTTCTTGCAGACAAAACATTTTTTTGTTATCCCTTTAAATAATCTATAAATTTTCCAGATTATGACGTTGTTCAAATAATTTTTTAATCAAAATTAAATGAAGAGTTAAAAACTCCAAATAGTTAGTCACACTTAATCGAATAGGTAACTGGGTATCTTTATATCTTGATAAATCAATAAAAAACATTCTATATAGGTGTAAAATTTTTTTTCGCTTCTCGGATTGCACCTAAATCAAAAAAAAATTTTTTTCCTAAAGGAATTTTAACCAAAACTGTGTCAAAATATTTACGTTTCATTAATTTTCACTTTGATCTTCGATGATTATGTTATGTAGTTAAATTTTTATACTCACGGTTCATTTATCTTGTCCACCACGGTTTTTATGTGCATATAATATGTTACTTATGTTATGTGATATATGAAAATTTCCACTTTAATGGTTTTTCATTTGTAAGCGTACCATTCAATATAAGAATTTTTTCGTTTGAACCAATATGTAAGCTCATATATTATAAAAGTTTTAATTTAAAGGTAAAGTTTTTGTATTTTATTTTAATATTTTTGATCAGGAAGTGAAACTCAAAATTTAAAATTTTTTTTTGTATTAAAGTTGATTTGGTATATGTAGGTAGAGTTGAATACTCTTTTATAATAAAAATAAGAAAGTGGGGGTGTTCGTTAATAGTTCTAGAACAATTTTAGCACGTTCCAAATTATACGCTACACACACTGATTAAAGTGCTTTGATTACTCCCTGTATTAAAGTGTATTCCAAAATTCATTCTGGAAGTGTAGCACAGATATTTACTTAAGATTGTACGCTGTCGCTTTTCACTTTTTGTTTTCAATTCATTCAGAGATACATATTGTATATTATTGAAGAATTTTGTTCAAATTGGTTTTCCAGTATTTTGATGAATGCTGGATTAATAAAAGAGATATGAAATCTTCTACTATAGGATAAATTTTATATTTTCAGGATATAATCATCATAAATTTTTCGTATTCTTAGGTAACGCAAATATTCAATTCATTGCCATTACATAGAGCCTACGGTGTACTTTAATAGAAAACAATAGTATTTAATTAAAAGAAAGAATATAAAATTAGAACAATTTTTATTTTGTCGTTTTTTATTTTAACAATGTCATGTCAATTTTATTACATTTTAAATATTATTTTAATATATTTTCTTATATACTATAACCATAGATTAGTACTATTTCACTTATCTATGCTACAACTACAATAAATGTACAATTCAAAATACAAGGTTTTTTTGATAAAATATTTGAAAGCAACTTTTTTTAAACATATTTTGTGATTACAAAAACTTTAAATACATGCAAAAATATGTACTAATTTTTTTTTTTCAATATTTTTCTTATTATGTAATTATTATTTTATTATTTTAAAATATTTTTATTAAGTTTTTTAATAGTATTTTTTGAATATAATTTTACTTGAATTTATTTTAAAAAAAGATTTTACCTGCAGAGATTTCTTAAAAAAAAAATGGAATAAAATATTTGGAAACTAATCATTTTGTAAAAAATTAAAATCTACATTCATAATGTTTATTTAAAAATATTCAAGATAATTTTGGTATAAAAAGTTTATCCATTATAATTATAATTGTATGGTGGTTGTGTAGGATAGTCTTTCTTGGCTGAGGAATATTGTTGATGTGAATTTGTATTAGAACTAGGATTTTCACTAAAAAGTCCACCACGATTCTTTGAACTGAAGAAATCACTTATAGCTCCACCAGCACCACCACCTCCACGATTACTAGAACTGCTACCACCACCACCTATCAAATCTCCAATAAATCCTAATCCACCCCCTGAACCCCCTGAACCTCTATTTTGAGAAGAACTTCCACCTCCTCCACTTAAATAACCACTAATAAGACCACCTATCAAATTACCTGCACCACTACTTCCACTACTGCCGGTACCAGCCCCACCACCGTACCCATCGTTATATCCTCCTCTATTAGGTTGATTAGGTTCATTTCTGCCAGTAATAGCTTTTTGTATTTGACCAGCAATTATACCTGAAATAGCTGAACTAACATGTGGATTTTGTAAAATTCCAGTTAAAAATCCATTTCCTTTATCTTTTTGACCACCAGAAGGATCACTATAACCTCCACGATTATATCCACCACCACCACTGTATCCACCGCCTCCAGCTCCTCCACTATATCCACCAGATCCACCTCCACTATATCCACCGCCGCCGTTATATGCCGGACGATTTCCTCCATTATTATTATTTGGTTGAGGTTGATAACCACCATTACCATAGTATGGGGATTGTCCACCACCTTGTGATGGATTATAACCAGGTGGTACATAACCACCTGGATTAACACCAGGATAATAACTTCCACCTTGCATATTATTTTGATTTGGAAGCGAAGGATATAAGCCACCATTACTTTGAGTATTACCACTATTGCTACCACCATAGGGAGAATTGTTATCAGCGTTTGCATTTGTATTAAATGTTGGCTTGTGTTCTATATCCGAGACTTTTTATATATTTTTTTTTATGATTATTAAGCAGGAAATCATGAAACGGTTAAAATATAAATAAAAATAAAATAAAGAAAAAAAACAAAATAATAAATAAAACAAAAATCAAAATAGCAACACTATGGTTGTTAAAAAAAGTTTAAAAATTAATGTTAGTAAGTAATTTTTGTTAGTAAAAAAAAATTTTTTTTGTTAGTTTTATGCAATCATAAAAAAAAATTTGTTAATATATATTATTTTTTACATGTTTACAAATTTTATAATTAAATTTAATATTTATTTTGTGTTTTTATAAAAATGCATAATAGCAAGCGAGCGTAAACATGAAAATGAAATAATCTTAAATTTAATGAAATTTAAGAGTAAAATAAATCAAACATACTTAAGCATGACATACACAAATAATTTTTGTTAAGTCTGAAATTGTGATCGATCCTATATTAACGTTAACAATAACAATATTTAAATTGAAAAAATATCTCAGATATTATCTAAGAACTAACAATTAAATATCGGTTCTAGGTTTTTAATCAATAATAAATAGGTATTTGATATATTTCAAAAGTTTCTATTGGATTTGTGTAATCAAGAATTAATTAATTAAAAAATATATTTACATATTGTGTGTGAGCAAATGACATTTTGAAATCATAAAAGATTTTTTATCAATTCCCGATTTTAATTATATAAATTTTCGAGAAAAACAAAAAAAAAAAAAACAAGGGAAGCAAAAAATTTCTGCAGAAAATACTCTTTAACTATTCGATTTCATTCGCTAATAGCACCATCATTATAACTATTTTTTATTTTATTTAATAAAATGCTTTTACTTTTTTTAAATAAAATCTACTTTGCTTTATATTCAAATTCTCAAATAATTTCAATTCGGCAGTGCATAATTCTAAAATATAGAATGTAAGTTATATTAAAATGTATGTGTGTGTGTTCGTGTGTCATAATAATTTTAAGTAAATTCCTTGTTTTATAAACCTATTATTGCTTCTTTTGTATTTTTTATAATCATTTTTGTTTTTCTTTTATTTATTTTCTATTATATTTAAATATATTTCATCTAACTACATCAAACGTTGGGTATAGGTAATTTACTAAATATTAATTCAATTTATTAATTTTTTTTTTAATAGAATTAATAGCGATTTTTAGTTATAACTTTTAAGCTTAATTTTTCGATTCATAGAACATGATTCACACTTTTTTTTTCAATTCAAATTTTAGATGATACATTCATATTAACAATTCAACAACCTTATATTTGCACCATTGAAAATTTTATTTTTATTTCTATTTTTATTTAACAATTTAAGATTTTAATTTTCTTTGTTAGCTAAAAATAAGTTTTCGGACAAATTTTATAAAATTAAATAAAATTTTAATTACAAAATTAAATAAATAGTAAAAAAAAAAGAAAATTGGACGAAATTAAAAAAAAAAAATACCATGATGTGATCATATTGGAATTTTTTTTTTCGATTAATTTTAATTGTTTTATTATAGAAACAAAAATATAAAATATGAGATTCCGCAGATCAAAATTAATAAAAGTATAATGTAAGTACAAATATATACCCATATTCTGTTAGTTGCATCACTTGGCGTGATGGATTGTTATTCAAAAATTTTCTAATTTTAAGTATTAATGTAATATCAATTTCGGAATTGCAGATTATATACTGAAAACCAATATATTTATTAACAAATTTCCATCACATCAAGTGATGCGTCTAACAGAATATGATTGATAATAATAATTGTAAGTAAAATCTCGATAGACTATCTTAAAACATAATAATTTTGTATATTATAAAACACGTTTTCTTATTATAATTAATAATTATTATTTGAATATTTACTAATCTATTTTTATTATTTCATACATACATATCCATAAACTGAAATTATATGATAGCATTTTAAAACTTTCATAAATGATTGTTGAAAATTTGTATTTCTTTCATTCAATATTTTCAAAAATTAAGTGTGATTATACAATTTCTTAATTTCTCTATATATTATATATAAATCTAACACGAAGTTAAGATATTTACAACATTTATTTCTTAAAAATTTAGTTTTTTTTTTCTAATAAAAGCCCGAAATTAAAATTATGATTTAGAGTCATACTTAATTTTTGAAAATTGTTTTTGAGTTTATTATTTTACACTATTGCATAATATGATGATAGTCTACCCAAAAGTACATACATAAAATGGAAAATTTAATTTCTTAATACAAATTTTAAATTAGTTTATTGCAATCAATATTTACAAAAATAATTAACAATGGAATTTAATACTTAAGCTCTTTTATTATAAATATTATTTTGGTGCATTTTTTTTAAAAGCCAGAAAACTAAAAAAACATATAACATAATAGCTGTTTCTAATATTAATTTATTAAATTATTTACTTGAATTTAGTTACTGCAATATTTTTATTTTACAATTAAAAAAAAAGACTGTAACATTTTTATAAGAACTTATTTGAAATAATAAATGACTTTTTTTTGTTTTTCCTTATTTTTTTTTTAAGTTAGTCTAATTTCCTGTATCGAAATTTAAAAATCCTCCATTAATTATTTTGTTTATCCTCGTAATGTATCAATAAAAATAGATGAAAACATGCAATTGATAACAATAAAAATTGTAAAATAAATATTCAAACTATTTTGTCCAGATGAATTTGATTGTCGAGGCCGATCTTGTTTATTATACAAGAATTGTTCAAGCAAACCCGGCTCCCTTGTGGTAGCCTGCGGATTATATAGTGAAGGCTGATTTCCAAATACATATGGTGGTTGATACGGATTTTGAGGATTAGGATAAGTTTGAGGTATTTTAGGCACAGAATCAGGATGATGAGCTTGTGGAAATTGTTGTGGTGGTGGAGCTGATGTTGGATGATTAAATGGAAATATTGGTATATTAGGATCGATTTGTGGTTGTTGATTTTGTCTTGAACCAAATATTGTATTAGTATTTTGTGGTGGATATGGATTATTATTTGGCCATTGTTGATTATTATATCCATTTGTATTTGAAGTAGGATTTAAAGATGGTGAATAAAAACTATTATCGGTTGCCGTTGGTTTAAGACTTGGACCTGAAATTGATATGAAATAGTATGGTGCATGCAAATTAAATCGTACGTGTATTTGATGTTTATGTGATTATAAATTCGAAATTATATGAAATAAAACTATTACATTTTTTTTTTTAACCAATTACTTTATGATTATATAAATAGGTGCTCATTTTGATAATGAAAGTGCTTTTGTAAGTCAAATGCTCAAAAATTCTTTTATAATTTGTTTTAATATTTTTATGTGTAGTATGAATGATTTATGAAGAACATATTGTTTTTAATTTGATTATTATGATAATTTGTTAATGTAAGTTAAAGATTGGAGTTATGTGTTAAATATTTTGTGGATTAAATTATGATTTATAAAAAAAAAAAATTAGTTTAATTGTGTGTTTAATTATACCTGGTGGTTTCGCTGCACCAGTGTTTTTACATGTTGGATAAGATCCGCATTCTTTTCCATCACGTTGTCCTAAATTACAAGAATCTTGTGCCATTACACAAACTTGATTTGGTAAACATCCTATATCTTGACAACCACGACCGTATTCTACAAAATAATAATGAAATTAATAAATTATTTGAAAAACAACATTATTTAATTTATATTAAAACTTACTAGTAAATGAGTTCGCTTTGTTTGAAATAGCAATTAGAATTGCTAAAACCAACTGAATTTGAGTGAATTTGGACATTTCAACTGCGTTTTGGAAACGTCACCCAAGTAACCTAAAAAGGAAAAATTATTTTTTTTTTAATTATACAAAAAATATATATATTAAATATTTAATTAGAAATAATTGAGAATTTAAAATTCATTCTGTTAATTTGTGTTAAAATTTCAATACATATTTCAATCTCTTGAAATCATTATTACTTATAGTTAATGTTATACTTGAGTATAACATTAACTTTATGCTATTGTACGTTATTTACGTATATATTTTTATATTTATTGAACTATATACATAAATAACATTCTATAAAATTTATTTTTATTATACATTTACTCATATAAATATAAAAAATTATTATTATAATTACGAGAAATTAATTTTATCACTTATTGTTATACGTATTATTTATCTTCAACACATATATATAAAATTCACCTATACAGTTAATTGATATTAATTAATATTAATTATATCCTGAGTTTATTATATTATTTAGAAATATGTATAATATTATTTATCGAGTGAAATTAGTTTTTAATAATCTACTTAAACGGCAATACTTGTACGTCATTTTGAATTTCAATTAGAGTAAATAATTGACAAAAATGCCGAAATTATTATTTTAATTGATAATTAAAGTCTCTTTATTTTCCACAAAGGAAATTTCTAATTGAGCCCATAAAAACCTAAAAAATAACAATTAAAATTTAAAATTATAACAATTTAATTAGATTTAAGTATCAAAACTATTACGTATATTGTTTATAATTTTTTAATTATGTAGAAGAAATTTAAACTTTAGTTTTCTTAATTTTTTCTTGTAAAAAGTGTTAGAATAGAAAATTTAACGAGGGGGAGAAATAGTACTAAAGCTTTTGTTCTCTTAAAAAAAAAACTCCTTATTAATTTTTTAACAATAGTTGAAATTTCAGTTTTCTGTTTTTCTTTATTTTATTTTAGGGGGGATTAAATATCATGTTTCAAAACTATATGTTCATGTGTATGTACATATATGTAAAAGAATAATATACTCATAGTCTTAAATGAGATTATGTAAACTTTAAGATTTTGATGATAGTTAAAATAGAACAATTGATTTTTTTTTTCATACAAGAAAGTACACATAGCATGTATATTTGAATTCGAATAGTGTATAACTCAAAAAATTATGAATTTAAGGATATTATTGTGAATATGTTTGAATTCATTGCATTTAATTATTGTGAATGTAGATTTAAAATTGTGTAAGTCAAAAATTTTGAATTTAAGATTTATTATTGTGAATACGTTTAAAATTATTGTTTCTAATTGTTGTACATGTAATTTTAAAATTGCACAATTCAAAAATTGTGAATTTTAAGTTATAAAAATATTTGAATATGCTTAATTCTATTGTATTCATGTAATCATTGAAAATTTTTTTTTGTAAAATCTTTCATAATTAAATAAACGATTTTTTTTTCCAGTCATTCATATACGATAGTTACTAATTAATCTGTCTCACATTCCAAATAATAACGAAATATTTTAAAATGAATAATTTTCATATAAATATTTTAATTAATTTCAATTAAATTTAATTTTTTTGTAATTATGAAAATAAAATTTAATTAAATAAAACAAGTTGGCGTACGCAACATTATTATTTAATAAAAAAAAATAATAAAAATTTATTTTTTCAAATTTTCAACCTATACTAAATGCAAAACTATTTAAAAACCAATTAATAAAAAAAAAATTCTGAGAGAGTATATAAAAACTTAATTTAAAATTCGGGAATTTTCTTTACAAAATTAATTTATTGTCAATTTTAAATAATCTACACTTAGTATAGAACCTTTAAAGTAAAAATAATTATCTACTTTTATTTTATTTTTTTTTGGTTGGTTTTTGGGTTTTTGTTTTTGTCCAGAATAGTTTGAAATCAGTAAAAGAATTTAATGTTGAGGAAAAAAAAAATATTAATATACTATTTTTACTTTTTTACTTTTCTCTGACAATATTTTTAGGATTATTATGTACCTATATGCATGTTATAAAGGAATATATATGTACATATATGATTAATCGTTAGATCTTATCATATAGTATAATATATAGGTAGTGTTCCTTTTAAAATGGAATGTTTACCGCAAAAATTTTTCTACATTATACTTATAATGTACGCCAAACTATTTTATTCTTTTTATTACCAGTTTTTGTACAAAAATGTAAAAAAAAAAAAAATAAAAACTAAATTTTTATACTTTGGTTTTCTATACAATAAATATATATATATAAAAATCTTTCTCTCTCTCTAAATAAAAATATGCATGTAATATTATTATTATTGTGTATCTATAAAAGTTTTATGAAGAATATATTTTTTGAATGGGTATAACATATATTATGTATATATACATATATACCTTTTCCCATAAAAATCTATATAGAATAAATAATAAAGCAGAAAAATATATAGAAGAATATTTCTATTCTAACTTCATATTTGAAATGATTCATTTTTACAGAAATAAAATTGCTTTTTTCAATATTATAACTATACGTATATGATGTGTGTATGTTTGAGCTACATATATTATATGCGTTATGTATTTTATAACTATATATTTCCATATGTATACATACATATGTACATATTTAAAATAAATCAATGTAAAAAATAAAATATTCTATAAACTAACTGGAATGACAAAATGAAAATATCAAAAAAAAAAAAAAGGAAGATGAAAATTCGAAGCAGCCTACATTTTATTTTTATATTTTTCCTGTTTTTTTTTTTTTTTTACTGTCTATATCCTTTTTAACATTTTTAAGAAAATCCTAATCGTCCGTACGTAAATTTTAGTAAAAATATGGTTAACCACAAGATTTTAAAAGAGAAAACGAATTAAAATATAAAAAAATAAAAAATAAAAAGCAAAAAAAAAAAAGTTTATATGGAATGTTTACTTAAAAAATTAACTTGTTTTATAAAATATAATTATATATATATATATAATATACACATACTCTATATATATATTAAATTTTGAAAATTTTCTCTTAATTTTAATTTTTCTTCTTCTTCTTCTTCTTGTTAATATAATAATCAAGACATTAATACTTAAGTTAAAGTATGACTATGCCTTTAAAACATTAAGAAATAAAAACTACTAAAAAAATTATTAAACTTACATTTTATATTTAAATGTTATACTCGTATAAGTTCATATATATGTAAATACATATATATGTAAATACATATATATATATATACATATATATATTAAATACAAAATAATATAGTGTTAAAATTTTATGTGACCCAAGGCATTAAAAGACACTATTCTTAAATTTTTGTTTTTTCATCATGTACATACGTACTTATATACGTGTATGTACGTGTGTGTTTATATGCTCACATTAATTGTTTTTAATAAAAGAGAGAAGTATAAATATGTTGCTGTAATACAAATCCTAAGGATATTTAGGTATAAAATTGTTTCATTTTTCGTTTATTTTTTTGTTTTAGAAACTTTATATTATTTTTTATTATAATTATAAGTAAAGCAGACATAGTAGGTACTTATATTATATAGTTGATAGAGTAGTATACGTCATTTGTACTCTTAGATAGTAAGAGAGTACATATACTCTTATAAATTCAAAATGAAATTCAGGAAGTTTTGTAATTTTTAGCGGTTAGGCTGTGTTTTTTCTTCTTTTAATTGTTTTTTTTCTTGTTTTTTTGAAGAAAACTTTTGATGAGATTACAAGAGTACTATATAGTACTACTTATATACTACTACTAATATATAAGGAATTTAAGTAAAGTTCAACTGCATATAATATTCTGTTTCTATTGTTTTTGTTTTTTTTTTTTTTTGGCAAAAATTTTATGAAATTTAAAAAATTTAAAATGAAATTTTAATGCAATTTTCTTAAATATATGAAAAATTTTAAATATTTTATATAAATTTTAAATTCTAATATGAACTTGGAAGAAAAAATTTATTTTGTTTTAAATTATGTGTGTATATAAAAAAATTTTAATATACTAATATAAAAAATATAATATTTTTTTGTCAGTGTACGTGCATGTGTATATTTTTATCGACCATATTGTATTCAATAAAGGGAAATTATGTTATAGCACCAAATTTGGTATATCAAGTTTTCGGCGAAAATATGTTTCTCCTTGCTAGGGAATCGTAATTAAACTATTTTTAGAGAGATGTCTGTTGGTATTTCTATCTGTCAGTCTGTATGTGTAGATCAGTGTAGACCTTAAGTTCTGATGCACTGATTTTCAAAAATTCATATCTTAGTCTACTTCAAGAGTTAGACGATTTGATTAACTTTTGAGATATATCAGATCTCTGGAATTGAATTTTTACTATAGGTCGATTTTGCATTTTTCGTTAATATTAGGGATCGGAAACAGAATTTTTACTAAAGGCCGTTATTATATGCATATTTGATCACATACTTCAGAAACTAATTGTCAAAATTTCTTGAAACTTAATATTTGAGGTTTGTTTGTAAACGAAATTATCTGGGAAAGTGTGCAGGGGAAATCGAATCACGGAAAATGAACTTCTAAGAACTAAAAACCAAATTCACATTTTATCATTTAACATTAACCACTTTCTATGAAAGATAGAAGTTAATATTTTAAGGCAATTTTCATAACCTTATGCAACGCTTCAATAATGTGGTCGGTTATTTGCTGCTTACATCAGATTCTTTTTTGTTTATTTGTTTGTTACTTAACAAAATTTTATTGAACATGTTTTTATTTTAAAATTATAGATGAAAAGAAAATAATCTCGTAAATTTTTCAAAAAGTCAAAATGTGTGTGATCTGTGAAAATGATTGTTTTTTAAAATATTGTCATCGTAAAAAAAAAAGCTTTATGAAAAATGTCGGTTCTTTTTTTTTATTACGTATTAAAAAGTCTGTATTAGGTATAAAAAAAAAAACAAAATTGGAATATGCGATAAATTTAATAAAAAAAAAATATTTGTATAATATTAATGTCTATTAGGAGTGTCCGTTTAAACATTGTA